TGGTGAACAATCGAGCGACCTTTACGGAAGCCAAACCACTCCTCGAGCAACACGTTGTTTTCATCGGTAGATGTCAGGAGTCGGTGGTATACTGCCCTTAGATAACCCCGAGAGAAGACTGATGGGTCGGTAACTTGAAGGAGAGGACGGATCTTTCCCAGGCTTCCGGATGGGAATGACTTTAGCTGACTTCCAGTACGAGGGGAAGTAGCCAAGTCTAAGGCACTGTGTTTGAGTTCCAGATTCAGAATTTGGTCGAAACCTGGGGCCTTCATGTTTTTAGATGATTTGATATAGGCCAATAGTTCGTCAGCCGTAATCTCGGATTCCACAGCAACCGCAGTATTGTATGGACTAGTTATGTTCAGTCCGAGATTATGAGAGCTGACGAAGTGTTGACCTATAGCACCAGCCTTCTCTTCAGGGGTTATCAGATGGGCGACTGAATCATTGGGTTGATTCAACGGTACAAGTGGTGGAATGACCATGACTTATTTTTAAGGAGTTTTGTTAGTTTCCAGAAGGACTTGGCACAATCTGGGAATGAACGCAACCTGCCACTAAAACCTTCATTTCTGAGGTCCACCATCCTGGCTTGAATATTTTTTGTTAGGTGATTGCAAGGTGATCACCCAAGTAACATTGCAAGTTTTATCGAGGTTTTAAAGCATGCTACAAGTCAAAATCATGGTCTTCAGAACCCTCATAAAACCAAAATTGTTACTTGGGCAGTCCAGTGCGTTGGTACTGCCTACGCATGGCGTTACGGAGTCTTATAATGTCTTTAGTGGGTCTATCAAGGTTCAGAGTATTTCTCACCTGTCTGGAAACTGGTACGTGTTTTTTTACGCCTCCTCTATGGAACTCAGGCACCTGTCACCGTCTTTGGGGGTGTCCGGATGTTCCTCATAGTCAACTGGAGTGTCAACGCAGCGTTGTAATTGCTCCCAACTAACGCAATGGTAGATGCGCCGGGATGCTTGTGTCCTATAAGCAGAGAAGCCTACTTCGGCCACCACCGGCTAATGGTCGGAGCTCAGCACCTGGTAGGCCACAGGTTGTGAGATGTGTTGCCCCAAGGTTGGTGTTTGGCATTTAGGTCGCCAGTGATGATGAAGTTTCCTCACCTTCGGGTGAGTTTGATGATGTCTTGCCGGAGGGCCACTGACGACCCGTCTCTGTCGTTGGTTTGCTTGGGGCAGTAGGTCACGATGATGGTGATTGGGCCAAGTGATGTGCTCACCTCAACCCCGATGGGTTCGATTGTTTTTAGCTGAAAGCTTGGTGGCAGCCGGCAACTGATGCTCCGTCTGGCAGTGATGGCCACTCCTCCACCACCAGAACAGGTGTGGTCAAGTCTTACGAGTCGGAAGTCGGGAAGGAAGACGTTAAACTCAGGCTTCAAGTGCGTTTCGGTGATGATAGCGATGTCTATACTATGCTCGTTGAGGAAATTAACGAACTCAATGATCTTGCACTTGAGTGAGCAAGCATTCCAGTTGGCGATCTTGATGGCTTCACGGTCCATGATTGTCAATGAAACGTGATGCAGTAAGAATCTGCTCGGTTCTAGTCCTGCAGAACCGCTTGATGATGATTGCTTCTGCCATGATGTGGTAATGAGTTCCTCTGTTGTGCGCAGATCTTCCTTTTCATTTGATGGTGGGGCGTCATTGCAACGTCAAGATAGTCCCGGGGGAGGGTAAGCAGCCGTTGCCACATACGATTGTCGATGCAGATTGGCCGAAGGGTTTGGCAACTCAGCAGTTGGCACCTCAGCAGCAGTAGGCAAATGGTTGTTGAGTGGAAGCGGTGGAACAACCGGAATCGGACGCCGTTGGGTAATAGCGGGGAAATTCTGCTCGTTGCAAACCGGAACCTTCTTCCGACCTAGCTGGTTCTGCGTGGAGGCTTTTTTGGACAAAACTTGCTGCAATTAGCGCATTCTTCGGGTGCGTGTTGCTTTGCACAATCGTTGCAGCGATGAGTCATGTGGCAATTTTTGGTCCCGTTCCCAAACATGAGGCAGTTTGAGCATTGGGTAACGTTACGGTGGCTTGGTTGATAGCGTTCCAAATTAACCTCGATGAGTTTCGCTCGAGGTGGACTAAATACAACTGGTCACGGTACTTACGGGAGGTTCATTTTGAATACTTGGTTTGGTTTTAGACCGTTCTTCTTCAGTTCTTCCGACAGCGCAGCGGTTCCCATGTCGGGAAGACCTCGCAGGACCATTTTTAGCGGCTTGTCCGCCTCGCTATCGGGGGAGCTCTTCAACGGCCTTGTACTGGTTCTTTGCTGGAACCATAAACTTGATACCTTTAGTGCACATGCACATGGTGCACTTCACTCCCTTCCCGATGTAGAACTCAATGCTCTCCCGAAGCCCAGGCGAGAATTCTTTCACCAAGAATGGCGGTACTTTCTCCTTCTTTTCAATTTTCGCCTCGTCGCCATTATTGCCTAGAATGACGTAACGGGTGTTCGAAAGCAAATTTATTTAATGCTGATTGGTTGGGACGCTTCCCTGATGAGCTTGTAACCACATGCCGTCAACGAGCTTAGGTGCTAACCTATCGAAATTCTCGAACCAATGAAATTCCGGTCTATCACGTTTCACGCTCACTCGATTCTACTCATTGTTTATTCGACACTAACTCTATCTACTACATTCTTCCCCTTTCCTACTCTCCTTAATTGAGAAAGGAGGCATTACTATATATATCAACCCATTCGGAAAACTTTCATCTATCCTCTCGGCGGAATTTCTTCCATCAGGTCATGGCAATTCTAACTATTTCAAAATTTCCTCATCCATCATGTAATGGCAATTCTTATCTACAATCCATTAGGTCATGGCAATACTTATCTACCATCCATCTGATCATGGTAATTCTATCTTCCATCCATCATGATAATTCTATCTACCATCCATCAGGTTATGACAATTTTTTTTCAAAACTACAAGGGACAGCCCTATGGGGATGTAGGCAATGGTGACGTAGGACTACGTGGTCTTATATAATAAATCTTATTTGTTAACTGCAGCAGGAGCTTGTGTTTTGTGTAGGAATAGGAATTTGAGCGGGGTTCTCTCTGTTAATACTCTTCAGTATGACGAGCTTGACATAGATAGCTCACAGCGACTGACGAAGAGCTACTGATTCCGATCAATTGCGGAGCGGCTACTTCCTCCTTCTATGGATGCTCATGTGGGCTGCAGCTTGCTGCTTGCAGGCAGCCTTCCGTTGCACTATGGGCAAAAATGGGTTCAAAATTACCCAAAATTCAATATATCAACAGCACGCTAAGTTCCGGCCATGAAAAACGACTTATCCGAAGGAAAATTGTCCGAGGAATCGATTGCACGTGGTCCCATAGACCGGAGAGCCTTGTAGGTATGTGTTTTGGACCATTTTACCCCATTTTCCCCTACTTTTTGGAGGAAATGTTTTTTCACAGCTCTATTTTTCGTAAAACATAAGCACTTTATGCATGGTTTTAGAATACTATGTCTTTAAACAACAGTTCATGAGATATTAGGGGAATACGGGGTACACTTTATAGGGGAGTAAGGGGTAAAAGTGAAAATACAATCAATATTTTTTAATACAAAATCCATTTTTTTAAATATCATGATATTTTTTTCTGAAAAATACTTTTAATTAACTTTCATTCGGTATTTTTAGTTCCGTCATCGGCCAAACAGTTCAAAAGTTATAAATTTTTGAAGAAAATCGAAATTTTTTTTTTTTATTGCCCTAATATATAAATAGTCACTTTAATGACAAAATAAAAAAAAAATACGGGTCTAATATGTTGCAATAAGGAACAAAACTACCAATTTTTACAAAATTCTGAGAACCACTATATCGTTTTGCTGCATACAGATAAAAAAAGTGAAAACTCTTTTAAAACCGATAGCAGTAAATTAAAACTTATTTAGCCCCAATTAACTTTAAAATTTCGAAAAAAAAATCTTATTAATGCAGGCAACCTTTGGGGTCATTCAAACAATCGCATCGTTCAACATTTTTATGAATTAAAATAAATTTAGCGAGGGTTCACTTTTACCCCTTACTCCCCTATAAAGTGTAGCCCGTATTCCCCTAATATCTCATGGACTGTTGTTTAAAGACATAGAATTCTAAAACCATGCATAAAGTGCTTATGTTTTACGAAAAATAGAGCTGTGAAAAAACATTTCCTCCAAAAAGTAGGGGAAAATGGGGTAAAATGGTCCAAAACACATACCTGCAAGGCTCTCCGGTCTATGGGACCACTTGCAATCGATTCCTCGGACAATTTCCCATGGGTTAAGTCGTTTTTCATCGCCGGAATTCAGCGTGCTGTTGAGATATTGAATTTTGGGTAATTTTGGACCCATTTTTGCCCATAGTGCGTTGTGTGCTAGATAACACCACCACTCACCACGCGATGATTGAATAAACACCATTTGGTGAGACCAGATGGAATTCAACTTTGAAATCTGTGTTAGGGAAATCGCTTTTCGCAGGCAATCGGTGATAATTTTAAATATCATAGAAACAGTTGCACATTCGTGCAATTTTCAATAGTGACATTTTGAAGAATCGTAAAGTCTAAAATATAGCAGATGGGTAGGAAAATTTCTGATCGATTGGTGATAAAATGATTGAAATTAGTTCAGGGGCAGCTGAGTCATTAGCGTTCAAAATCTTTCATAATTTTGTTACATGTTCCATTGTCGGTTTCACAAAGTGTACCCTCATATATAAATCACAGACGTAGTCCTACGTCAAAAAACTTCAGTTCTTGAGTCATTTCACTATACTTACTGTTACACTCTAGGTTACACTATCGTACCAACTGTGCCATTGTCGTGACTGGACCGAGGTTTCCAGCCAAGACCACGACTGCACGAATTAATGGTGCAGCTCCCACGGCGGCGGCTGGTTCCAATCTTTTTTGTTGCTGCTGTTCCTTCTACTCGTCTGTCTCCTCCAAAATTCGTTACAAGAATGCCGTAAGTCAGACTTTAACTTGACTTTAAATGATCTTTATTTCTTGTGTTTGTGTGGTTTACATGCACATGAATTTTCAAGTGACACAGATGCGACTTTTCAACTTGAGTTCTAATGCTGTCAGCGAGCTTAGGTACCTCACATTAATACCTGCAAACCTTTCAAAATTCTCAAACAAATGGGATTCCGTTTACATACGGTCTATCACGCTTCACGTTTACTCGATTATATTCATTCTTTATTCCACACTTACTCTATCTACTACAACGGCATTCTCCCCAATGACCACTTTGAAGTGATAACGTTAATGTAACGAAGTTTAAAAGTTCCATGTGAAGAGAATGGCAATCAGAAGTGGTTATCACAATAGGGGGGACCTTGTAACCATTATGCAGATTTTAAGTTCAAAACCGCATAAGCCACACGCAAGCGAAGCGGCAACACTGCCACTCTGACAACCAAAACGCAAACTTTGCGACTCCCATCAGCTGCGATCGCCACCAGCAGGGTGGCCAGACCTACCGATTTATCGGTAGTCCTACCGATTTTTGGGATGCCTACCGATTCACAGACGAAAGGTTCAAAACTACAGATTTTTAACTTTTCCTACCGAGAATCACAGATTTCAAGGCTGTGTTCCATTTGGCGAATTTTCACTTAAGCTTTACACTTCGAAAGTAAATTATAGTGTTCGGAAATCTATCTGATGGTGATCGTCCGATTTTTGAAAAGGTGTTCGTCAAGATTGATTGCTGATCGGTGATAAATAAGTCTGCTAGAATAGCAGGTTTATTTCAAAAGTGTACATCTGTCAAATTTAAGTAAAAATGCAGCATTAGAACACAGACTTAGTAATCTTGAAAAATGTTCAAAGCCTATGTTTCGTTTTCCGTGTAGTAAGTCAGTTTGATCGAACGCGATATGTTTTGCAGCTTCAATCCAACGTATACGGTAAGAAGAAAGAACCCAAAAGTAAGTACTTTTCATTCATCTCGGCGCTATGGTGCAGGAACCAAGAAGTAGGTAAAATGTGTCAAAGTAGTTTTCATTTACTTGTGGGAAATTCGTATAGCATTTTCCACTACCTTTCTACTCAAAAGTAAATTAGTTGTACCCAAAAGTAGGCTCCGTTTTTGACAACATAAAAAGAGAAAATGAGACAAACTAGTCAAAAGTAGGTAAAAGTGAACTGGTCATTGGGAATTTTTTTCTTACCGTGTACAAATGAGTTTTTTTTACGTTTTATCGACCTTCTTAGTCTGATGTTATTTTCAGATTCCCCCTTTTTTAATTTCGTGTTCCGTTCGTTCTACTCGCACTTACTTGTTATTCTTAATTGTTATTGTTAATATTGGCATATTTTTGAGGGATACGAATTACTCATAGGGCCCATGCATTAATTATGTCACGCTAAATCGAGAAAAAAATTACCCCCTTCCCCCCACCCCCCTATCGTGACGTTTTTCCTATACCTAATGCATTGCTTGTCACAAAATCTTAGAAACCCCCCCTCCCCCCTTAGAGCGTGACATAATATATGCATCAACTGTAGGACTGATCTCTTTCTGTTTACCTTATATTTAATACTAATAGAACGTCGGACACCTAGGAAATCATATAAGAGAAGTACACCATTATGAAAAGTTGATTCATCCATGACTGGCCACTAATGCTCCAACCCATGTAGGGCCTTTTCTTTTGCATTTTAGTTTCTTCGTAGTTCGCACGGAGAAGCACTGGTCGGTGGCGGTCTCGACTACGCCCGGTCGGCAAAAAACTCCGAACGGAAATCTTCGTACCCGGTCAGCGAGCAGCATCAATCCCGTAGTTAAGCAGCGATTATGCGGAAGCAAGAGTGAGCCGTAGCATGTATACGCTCATCTTCAGGGGCGGATAGGCCCAGCCTTGAAGATTTTCAAGGCGTTCGATCGACCACGCCATTGGAAGGCGTTGTCCAACAGCAGACGGAAGCGGCATTCAGCGGCATACTTGCGCGGTGTAGGATTAAGGGGGACGCCCCTGAAAGTGAAAGGTTAGGATTGATAGGGACGTTAGGTGAAGGTCCCTGAATACAATGGGAGTACAATGAACGCTGCTGTGTTAGGTTATTTGTTTCAACGCATCCCTATCGTCCTCTCAGACATCATTGATCTTATTTGTGAGTTGTATGTCTTATGCCGTTATACTGTGGTTACCGCATCGTTTTATTTCCTCAAGTATGTTTCGGCTATTATATGAATGTATGAATGCCATATGTTGAAGTTGTGAAATCTCGTAGTATCTTATCACGAGTCTGTGGACACCTGGTAGAACCTATAGCCCAGGAGCTATCGAGGTGAGATACTAGTTGGAGCAGGAGTAATCCACATACAAGTTTCCTCTCTCGATTCAGAGAAACTGTAATAACCTTTCCTTCTTCGCATTAAGCCGGGAAAGTTTACTGGAATTTTGCATGAATTATGGATCATTTCCTTATTTATTTATTTATTTATACAATACAAGAATAATAGCACAAGTAATCTACTAATGATTTTCAGAGTATATGCTACTATTACACTACCGATGTACCTATTAATCTAACTGAAGTAGTTGCTGCATAAGTTTTTGAATGTTATTAAACTTCTTGCTGTCTTGCATTCCCTCGGTAGTTCATTCTATAATCGTATCGAACGATAGCGCATTGATTCACTTAAAAAATGTGTCGAGCATCTTGGAATAATGAAAACACTTGACTTAGAAGATTGTGAGTTAATAAAGAAGTTTTGAAGATATATCGGACTTTCGTTTAAAATTTTAAAAGTTTGAATACACATTCTAAGTTTCATGTAGTTGACGAAATCGTAGCCGAGTAATAAATTAGAAAAGTTAGAAATGTGATCGTATTTCCGCAGGTCGTATACGTATCTGGTAACGGCATTAAATACCAAGTTTAATTTCTTTGTATTTGTCTTAGAAGTTAAACTAAAGAGAATATCCCCGTACAAAAATAACGGAATGATCAAGGATCTAGCAAGCTGAAGTCTGATATGTTGAGGCGTGGAGTGACGTAACAAAACTAGGGAGTGAAGCGTACAATAAACTTTGCTGCACACAGCATTGACTTGAGCATTAAAGTTGAGGTTACAATCCATTACAATACCAAGGTTTTTAATTGCTTCAGAATACATAATGATATCACCACCCACTTTAACTAATGGGATATCCTGAATACCAGTTCGTTTTGATCTAAAAATAATAGTTTGTGTTTTTGCCCTGTTCAAAATAAGACCATTAGTTTCACACCATTTTAAGATATTTTCTATATCACTATTTAATAATGATATAGTTTCAGAAATATTATTCAATTTGCCAGAGATGTATAGTTGACAGTCATCTGCATATAAGTGAAATTTACAATTTGATAAAACGTTGGGCATATCATTGATGAACATAGAAAAAAGTAGGGGTCCCAGGATGGATCCCTGAGGAACCCCACTCAGAACATGCACGTAATTGGATTGCATGTTATTAAATTCAACATACTGTGATCGGCCAGCCAAATATGATTCAATTAAATTCACTGAGGAATTACCAATTTTAAAGCAACTAGCGAGTTTCTTGCAGAGTTTCCGATGATCAATTGAATCACATGCTTTGCTGAAATCTAAGAGCGCCATCACGGTTAACATTTTGTTATCAAGAGCATTTCTTAAAACGTCTTCAATTTTTATAAGAGCTGTAATCGTGCTGCAGTTCTTACGATAACCGGATTGTAAAGAACATAGCAGATTATGATTATTAAGATATTCGTTTAGTTGTTTGGATAGAATTGATTCAAAAATTTTCGACAGAGCACAAAGTACGCTAATAGGTCGATAATCCTTTTCTGTAGTTGGATTGTCAATCTTACCAATAGGAACAATCTTAGCCACTTTCCATGAACATGGAAATTCTGAAGTGGTTTTACAAAAATTAAATAAGTCTGTGATGTAAGGTAGAGTGACACATAAAGACACGTTCAAAATATTTAGAGGTATGAGATCAGTACCCACAGAATCACATGAAGCAGACGCAAACTCTTCCAAAATATCGTTACTAGTAATACCTCTGAATAAAAAATTAGCAGAAAGTTCATCAACTTGCTCAGTTTCAATAAACGATGATGGGGCAAAATGTGAAACAAAATATAATTTAATGAAGCAGCAGTGACATCGCCACCACCAACATTCATATTTGAACCTTTTAACCTGAGTCGCTTAATATTATTCCAAAGTTTTTTAGCAGGAAGGAATGCACTAATTTGGGAAGCAAAGTATTCACGTTTAGTGTTTTTAACCGTACGATTAGTTATGTTGCGTAGCTTAACAAAATTGTGCCATTTTTTAGCATTATTTTTATCGCGTTTCCAACAGTCATATGCTTCTGAACGATTTTTGAACGTCCTGTGGACATGTTGGTTAAGCCATGAAGTTGAAGGGTCTCTTACCAGTTTTCTGGTTAAAGGCGCATAACGGTTTATGTGTGACAATAGTGCATTATTTAGGTAATTCAATTTGTCATTTACATCACAATAAGAATAGATAGCATCCATATTTAATTTTTGTAAATCCCGTATAAAGGAATCTTGGTTAATGTTATTGTAATCGCGATGGAAATAGGTTTCGGGTGTAGTTTTTGAGTTTATAGTCAATACATATTAAATCGTGGTCACTAATACCGCCAACAGAAGACTGGTAGGTATTATTCACATTGGATGTACAATTTCCTGCAATGAAATCAATTAGAGACGGGGTGCTTCCGGGTTGATGGCGTGTGGGTGACTGATTCACTATTTTAAAAGAGAGAGTATTCAGTTGGTCTAACATACTAAGACATTTGGAAGAATTTACATCTAAAATATTTACGTTAAAATCACCCATTAACACAACATTAGGCTCAGTAGCCAGTGTTTCTGAGATGAATTCAAAAACGGTTTTCATTTTGTTCAGGTTTACATCGGGTGGTTTGTAAACAATTCCACACA